GACTGTTGTCGTCGGTGTCGGCGCTGGCCGTACGCTTCAGCGCCGACTTAGCGATGGTAACGGTGACGGCCGTCGCCGCTGCGGCAGCCGATGTGAGTTTCGCCGCCTCCAGCAGTATCTTATTGGCCGACTCCGAGTCCACGCGCACTCGTTTGGGCGTCGGTCGAGGGGTTGTCGCCTCTGAACCAGACCTAGCGATCGCCGACGAGTGATGGCCTGATTTGGAGTCACTTTTGCCGGTCGTGTCGTCCGTCTGTTTATTCAAACAGATGCGACAGTTGTTAGAGAAGAGGTGCTGTCGGTGTTGGGATGTGGTGTCGACGCTGGAGCCGCCCATCAGGTCGTCCAATAGTGTCGAGACACCCGACGTGGAGGTAGTGGTCGGTGTCAACGCTTTGCTGTCATCTGTCAAACAACAAAATTAATACACAACTCATGGCTAAACCAGTGATCGCTGGACAGCAGCACCGGTAACAACAACAAACACATACCCGGTTTGGCCTCATTGGCGGTCTCGCCGACGATACCGCCGCTCTCGATCAGCTCTTCGCCCTTATGGGTCTTTTTAACGATCACTTGATTCACTTTGTCGGCGGCGTCCCTCTTGATGGCGTCCAACATCGAGATCTTCTCCCTCTCTCTCCACTTCGCTAACTCACTGCTGGCCAACTCGTCGGCCGACATCTGCACCAGTCGTTCGGGCGATATCTTCCCGTTGACCACTTTGCGGAACAATCCCTGATTCTTCGTGTCCTTCAGATTGAATAGCAGCGATCGGTATCGGTTCCGGTATTTACCGCTCGTGTCTTTGTTGAACAGTTTGAACAGCTCTTCTTCGATATGATTGGCCGTCTTCTGGATGTCGGATGAGCTGACAAGTGTCTCATTCGCTTCTTTGCATCTGTTATTTATTGAACGCATAGCACATCACAAACCAAAACCATTGATAAAATGAAATGATAATTAAAAACATAATTGTAATTAAATTATAAAAACGTAAGTGTTTTTTGTGTTGTTTTTTTCAGTGCAAACAAAATAACGATTAAAAAAGTTTGGAAAAATCATATTAAAAAAGTATTTAAAGTCTTCTATGAAAGTGATGTTACAATTAAATTAAATCACAATTAAAACCAAATAAATAAATGACCGAAAAATAAGACCAAAAAATCAAAGAAAAGACAAAACAAATAGTTTTAATCAAAAAATGTGAGCCGAAAAACGCGAACACAAAACAGTGGACACAATACCTGTTAATGAGTGTGTCCTTCAGAGTGGTCCGCACATTGGCCCGAATCGGATCCGCGCCCTCAAAGTCCGCACCACTCCTACTGTTGCTTCTACTAATCGGTGTCCTATTCTTCTCATCAGACCTACTATTCCTCTGACTCTTTTGCGGCGACAGAAGCGGCGACTTAGCGGTCGACGACTCGTCCTTCTTCTTAGACGATGAGGTGTTGGCGTTGGTAGTGCTGGTCGTGTCCTTCATCGACGACGACCGGAACAGTTCGTACGTCTGGTTACTCTTAATATAGTCCAACACTTCGCGTTCGGGTATCGCCTCTTTGCCTGACAGGAGGCGACCGCTGGACTTCTCGACGACCACTACTCGGCGGTCGAGCTCTTTGATGGCACGGCCGGAGCCGGAGTCGGACCGTTCGCGCCGGTGAGCGCGCAACACCTTCAACATGTCCGACACGTGAGTGTCGATACACTCGGCGTTACAGTATATGCTGAGCGCCGGGTTTGTGGCCGTACGGCCGCAACCGGCCGGACACTGGCGCTCAGTGATCGACACTCGGCGCGAATCGGACGATTGTTTGCGGCCGAACGGTGTCTGCGGGCCGGGAGTGGCCGGCGTGGAGGGCGGCGTTGTTCCCGTCGACATCTGTTTCTTAATCGGTTCCGCTTTGAACAGATCCTGAACCGAGAAGTCGATGGCGT